CGAACCGTGGTCCCTGTGCTTTGCTTAGCTTAGCTTGTTCTAAGTAGGTGCTTTAGACCACTGAGCCATCTCTCCAACCCCAGGCTGACTTTGAACTCACAGTAATCCATGCTCCTGTCTCAGCCTCCCAAGTGCTGGGATTACAGGTGTGCACCACCACGCCAACCACGCCCAATAGCAGAATAGCTATTTTTTATGAAAGGAGTATGTTAACACATGATTAGTTTATTATATAGTCCTTTTTCAATTAAACAATATTGTTCAAATTTCAGCTTCAATTAATAATACAGTGAACATCTATACACAAATCCCCCATATATCCTCAATCTTCTTTTTTTGTGTTATTGGGGATGGAACTCAGTACCTTGCATTTGCCAGGCAGGCACTTATGCCACTCATGCTATCCCCCCAGCCCCGCTTTTTCTTAAAGAGACAGGGTTTCATTATGTAGTTCAGCCAGGTCTTAATATGTAGCCCAGGTTGACCTTGAACTTCCAGCAATTCTCCTGTGTAAACCTGGCAAGTGCGGGATTACAGGTGTGTGTGGAACAACATCCGACCTTCAATAATTTTTAAGTGTGAAAGACTCAAAGGCCAAAAATATGATAAACATGGACCTAAAATACACAAATTAAATAATAATTCCTATTAAATTTACAAAGGTGAAAATACTATTTCTCAGTCCTAACAGAGATGTAGAGCAAATGTCATTCTCAGAGCTCACAGAAGGGTAAAACTGACAAAACAATTCAAGGAAATTTTGGAAACATACACCAAAAAGAGGGGAAGCTATGTATGAAACAATAAGCATACACTGTATCACTGAGCTACACCCATAAGCCCTTTAAAAAACAAAAAGCAGCCTGAATTGGTGACATACAAATTGGTAATCCCAGCATTCTGGAAGGCTGAGACAGGAAGATCACAGATTTAATTCCAGCCTGGGTAGATTAGCAAGATCCTGTGTCAAATTAAAAAACAAAAACCAAACCAAACAAAACAAAACAAAAAAAACCAAAAACAAAAACAAAAAACCACCTAAACTGGGGGGCAGACGAGGTGAGATGTAGCTCTTTGAGAAGTCACTAGGTTCAATTCTCAGTGCTCAGTGCTGGGCTCAAATCCCAGCAAGAAAGAAAAATAAGGAAGGGAGGGAGAGAAGACAGAGAACCTTAGAACTGGTGATTCCTCTTCTAGGAATCTATTTGAAGACAATATTAAAGAAGTGACAGTAATGTTACTTATAGGACTCTGTTTTAGAGTCCTATAAGAGTCCTAATTTGTTTTAAATTATTATGTTCTGGATGAAATTTTCATTTTTTCACTATAAACTGGAATAGGGATTTAGCTCAGTGGTGGTATGCATGGTAGCATGCTTGAGGTCCTGGGTCCACAGAAGGAAAAAAGCACAGGCAAGGAAAAAAAGCAAGTCAGAAATCAGGCTGGCTGTAGTCTATCTGCATCACCAGTTATTCAGGAGGTCAACTCAAGCCCCTCTGGGGCAACCTAGCGGAGCCCTGTCTCAGAAAATGTTTTTACAGGCACAGAGATGCAGCTCAGCATGAGCAAAGCCCGGGTTTTAATCTCTAGCAGCATAAAAACACAAAGCATTATACATGGTAGGAGCTCAATCTAATGTATTTGAAAAAATATACCAACATACTATCAGACAGGTATTACTACAGTTTGTATGTTTACTTACCATTTTTGCTAAACTTTTTCAATCTTGTACATTTTAGTTATCAAGTCAAACCTGGTTTAGTAACTGGTCAAACAGTGGCACTTATCTGTAACTCCAGCGCATGGGAAACTGAGGCAGAAAGATCAATGCAAGTTTCAGGCCATCCTGGGTATATAACTAGATTGTCATGAGCTTGTCCTGCTCCAAAGATACTCTTTATTCACTTTTTAATAGCTATATAATGTTCCACACAACGTGTGTGCTATAAGATATTAAGGGTTAATACTGGTTACTCAAGCTTCTTACAGATTCCAGATTTCTGATGCTGCAAGAAACATCTTTAAATCCATATTCTGTTATCTTGATATTTTCCATAGGATAAAGTTCGAAAAGTGAGTTTGGAACATATATATATTTACAAATCAGTAGATACTGTTATATTACTCACCAACATTGTATGAGATACCATATTCTCCCCAACACTTTAGGCTAAACTGGTACCTCACTGCTAAACAACTTTGTATTTCTCTGTCATGGAAATTGATGTTTTCATCTGTTTAATTGACCCTTCATATTTCTCCTCTTGTTCCCGGTCTTTGCTCCTACTTGTATTGCTATCATGAGCCCAAATAATTTTCCTGAACTTGGAATTACAGCTCAAAAAAGTGAAGATTACACTACATGCATAGGATATGGTAAAGAGACGACAACTCACCTAAGTGAGGGAACAGATCAGTGTCCAGCTGGTGCTTCTGTGTGTACAGTTTCACCAGTCTCTGCAGCCGACTTATACAGGACAAGTGTGGAGAGAAGGCTGTGGCTTTCATGAGGACCCGGTCAGTCCGGGGCAGGTCCGAGGCAGGAGCCCTAGAGGCTGGCAGGAGGGGTGGAGGCCGCTTGTGCACCACCTGCCTGGCTTGTGCTATGGTGTGTGTGGTGGGGGCCACTCCCTGCACTGGAACGCTGGTGTGCTGAGGCTGAGGTGACCTACAGATGGAGCCCTGCGGTGCTGTTGGAGGCTTTAAAGATGTGGACAAAGGTGAAAGGTGAGCGTGCTGCTGCGGAGGCAGCTGCTGCTGCTGCTGCGAAGGCTGTTGCTGCTGCTGCTGCTGCTGCTGCTGCTGTGGAGACTGCTGCTGCTGGGAAGGTGCAGGAGGGGGACTAAAGTGCTCTTGTCGAACTTTTAAAATTTCCGTCTCTCTCTGGCGCTGCCGGTTCTGGGCCAACTTGCTCTGCAACTTCCTTCGCACAGTTGCACCTTTCTTTAGGTCATCATCTTCCTCGTTGAATGCAAATGGGTCTTCCAAGTCAGTGTCCAGGTAGTGGAGAGGGACCCTGGCTCCAGGAGGAGAGAGGGACATGCCATCCAGTCCATTGGGCATCTTCAGGGCCAATGTGGGCATGGCCAGGCTGAAGGCCATGGTATCCATCTGGTGCCTGACCTTGACCTCATCTATGGGATCATTCTTTTTCTTCCTCTCTTTTTTCGGGATAAAGCCAAGTACCTGCAAGTGGCTGTTGCAGTACCTTTAAAAATACATACATGTGGGAAAGTGTTCAGGTACAGAGAACAGAATATAAAATGCATATTATAAATGTAAAGCTTAATACATTAAAAATTGCATGACTGCAGTAGTGCTTAGCATTCATTGAGTTAATAGGCAACTTTCCACCACTCTGGAACATTCCCAAGTCACTGTAATTTTGCTGAGGCCAGTGTGTATACTGCACATGTGCAGGTGGCCAGACAACCAGCTAGTGGGTACCCTGGATGATACACAGTCACCTATGCTCCTCGCCTAGCTTCATTTTTCTCCATGCACAGTATATGGAACCACTCTGCAAGAGCCTGAAATGTCACCTCAAATTCCCTATAGAGAAAAACACTTTCCAATACTATTCAAACATGGGAAAATTCACAAAGACTTTATGATATAACCTTCAGTAAAGGGTCTACTGTGCTTCATACACAGGGATAGGAAAAGGAGGGAGGAATAAGAACGCAAAAGAAGGGCTGGGGCAATAGCATGGAGGTCTAAGTGACTGCCTGGCAAGCGCAAGTGTGTGGCCACTGAAACTGGGTGCGGTGGCATATGCCTATAATCCCAGTGCTGGGGAGGCTGAGACAGGAGGATCACTGTGAGACCCTGTACCAAATAAATAAATGATTTCAAAAAATGTTTGTTCAAAGAATGGAAGGGAAACCAGGTATGGTGCTCCATGTGGGTAGGTTGAAGCAAGTAAGGCCACCTGGGCTACATAGGGAAACCTTGTCTCAAGAAGTAAACAGGGCTGGAGAACAGCTGGGTGTTGAGCACTTGCCCACTATGCATGAAGCCTTGGGTCCATCCCCAGTACCAATCAATCAAAGGAAGGACAAAATAAAAGAATAAACCTGTATAATAGAATTACAGGTGAACTGAGTTGCACAATAGCCAGATGTCTAGTACCAATCTGCTAGAAGATTTTTTTTTTTGGCAGTACCAGGGATTGAACTCAGAACCTTGAGCTTGCCAAGCAAGCACTTACTCAACTGAACTATCTCCCTGGCCCCCTAAACTGAATTTTTTTTTAAAAGTATTTGACAGGGTGTACAGGGTCTCACTGTGTAGATCGGACTTGTAATGATCCTCCTGTTTACAGCCTCCCAAGTGATGTAGGATTACAGGTACATACCACCATGCCCAGTCTCAATAGCCATCTCTGTGTGCCCCAAAGGCAGGGCCAGCACAGCAGGCCAGGGTATCAAACTCAGCCAGGGTATCAAACAGCCCCTGTGTCTGCCTAAGCAGGGACTTTAATCTGCTGAGCTATTTGGCTGGCAGGTTTGGTACTTTCTAGTACCAAACTGGAGACACCAAAACAATGCCCTCTCTACATAAGAGTGAATCATGCTGCACAGAAATGAACTTGCCCCCAACTGCGTTCTGCCTGGAAAATGGCAGACCTGAGACTTAGGAAAGCAAGGCTCATGGTCTGGCTACATCTACCTACTCTGGGGGAATAAGGCGGCAGGACTGCAAGCTTTAGCTCAGCTTGGGCAACTTGGCAAGACCCTGTCTGAAAAAATAGAAAAGACTAGGAACATTGGTCAGTGGTAGGGTGCTTGACTCTAACGTATAAGTGCCTGGCAAGTGGGGTGAAGGTGGAGTAGTTTAAAGCTCTCGAAGTGCCTCACTCAACTTCAACAACGAGCAGTTAATTTTTGTAATATAAATGTTATTTTAAATAAGTAAGGTGATGGGCCTATAGCTCAGGGGCACAGCACCCACCTTTTTATATAACGGGAAAGTAGAACATATGTTCTATGTTCTACTTTATACCATTTGACCCTACTGAAAACCTATAGACCTGACCAGGAAAGTGGCCTTGTTTGAATTCATTTTTTCCCTGCAGTTTCACAGTATACTTAACAAGTATGGCATAGTATTCCATGTTTAAATAAATCTGGAAGAAGTGGCTTAAACAAAGTTATACAGGGCACCGGGGAGATGGCTCAGTAGAATAAGTACCTCCCTAGAAAGCACAAGGGCTTGAGTTCAATCCCCGGTTCTGCCCAACAACAAAAAATCTCTACCAGTTTGGTTTTTTTTTCCAGAACCAGGGGATGGAACTCAGGCCATATTCTACTGAGCTATCTCCCTGGCCCCGCTCTACCACAAAATTACACAATGATTTTATTGCTTGTTTCTGCTGAAAAACTTTCAAAGAGTTTGCATGATAACATGTAGTATCAAGTGCCAAGGAGGAGATGCAAGATGGATACTTGTTTTTTTGAAACAGGGTCTCACTATATAGTCCGGGCTATCCTTAAACTATACAGTCCATAATGCCCTCAAACTTGCTGTGGCCCTCCTGCCTCAGTCTCCAGAGTGCAGGGATCCAAGCAGGCACCAACAAGCAGGGCTTAGAGCACTGCACCTATTATTAGAGCACACCAAGCAGGTTTTATGTAGCCCCATAACCCTTAAAACAGAACAGATTCACAAGTAGGGGTGAGGTTGAACACGCCTGCAATCCCAGCAGTAGGGAGACAGAAATCAGGAGGATCACTATGAGTTCAATCTGCATAGTAAGACCCTGCACACACACAAACAGAAAAAAGATTCACAAAGCAGTTCCTAGTGAGAAAATGGTGGGAATAACAGTACTAACCAATAAAAAGTAATGCTTTTGGCTTTTTTTTTAAATTTGGCACAGCGTCTTACTATGCAGCTCAGACTCATAGTGATTGTCCTGTCTCAGCTTCCCCAGCTCTAGAATTAAAAGTGTTGGCATGGCTTGCAGAGACCCACACAGCATGTGTTACTATGGATGGAACCATGTACTTACCAAGCAGGCACTTAGACCACTGAGCTGTATCCATAGCCCCAGAATTTTTTTTTTTTTTTTTAAAGTAGGGAAAGGTGAGGTAGTTGCTTGATTTTTCTTTAGAAATTGAATTCTCTGCTCCTGAGTACCCAGGACATGGTGGGCTGCAGTGGAAGCAGCTCCTTGCTGCCCTCGGCCTTGGTCACACAGTTGCAGGGCTGTGAGGAACTGCTGTTTGCACTCTGGAGCCCAGCCCTGCACAGAGCAAAAAAGGCTGCATGCACAGCCATCCAAAGGCTCTCCTAGCTGTGAGGAACATTTAAAATAAGTATACAAAGGGCCACCAGATAGCTCAGTAGACTAAAGCATCTACAGCCAGGTTTCAATACCTGGCATGCTGTGCAGTGTGCGCTGAGACAGCAATTGAGACTGTGTGGTGGTGCGCGCTATAATCCCAACACTTGGTAGGCTGAAAACAGGAGAATCACTATGTGTCTGATCTACGTAGTGAGACCCTGTACTAACTACATTAAAAAAATAAATAAATGTACAAACATAAATTTTCCATTTACAGGAGAACTGCAAAGGGGAACGGCCTCTAAGGTGGCAGATTTTCCACAGGAGGGTGAAAATGTTCTGAATTAGATGGGAGCGATAGCTGTATCATCTGTGGAAAAGTTGAAGGTACATTAGGTGAGTGAACTGTGTGGAATGTTGGTCATATCTTCAACTGCTTGTAAAAAGTAAATGCATAAGAAACAAATTTTCTTTGCAGATATGTACTATTACATACATAATACAAATATAGCCAAGTTAAATTTAAAGGTCATTATAAAATAGCTAGTTTAATATAGCTACTTACATCTAAGAAAACCAAGGTTACTGCAATGAAGTTCAGTTTACAGTGTGTAAGTACACTTAAAATGGGCTTCTCAGTACTGCTAAGCATAACACTACTCTACTGCAAAACGAGGGAAGCCCCTAAGCAAGCACTTATAATACTAATCAGGTAAATCAGAAACCACAAATTGCAATTCCTATAGCTGATCAACAACCAGGTAACTTCTGTCAAATAAGGTTTGCTTTCAGTAATAGTAAGTTGTGATGCCACATGCCTGTAATCCTCACACTCAGGAGGCTGAGGTAGAATTACAGGGAGTTTGAAGACAGTCTAAACTATACACTAAAACCTAGAACTCTGGAGGCTGAAGCAGGAGAATCAATGTGAATTAGAGGCTACCCTGGGCTACAAAATGAGTTTAAGACCGGCCTGAACTACATGGTGATATCCTATCCTGTGTCAAAAAAAAAGAAGAAGCTTGGGGCCGGGGAGATGGCTCAGTAAGCACTTCCCTGGCAAGCACAAGGGCCTGAGTTCAATCCCCAGTTCCGCCAAAAAAAAAAGTTTATTTTCAAGATTGTTAATCTTTTCTATACTATACTATGATACCATTAATATTTATATACACAAATCCAATCTGGATTCCTTGAAGTTTAACCACCTTCTGATTCTACACTTCAACCTATTTTCAGACAACCCTACAAACAAAAGTATTAATATCAATTGCTTGCTTATGATCATGACCAATTTTGAAAAAACATAATTCAGTACTTATTAAAAGTGTAAGGACTGGGGAGATGGCTAAGTACAATAAGCATTTCCCTGGCAAGCACAAGGGCCTGAGTTCAATCCCTAGTTCCCCCCTCCCAAAAAAAGAAACAAAAGCATAGCTTCTTGTGTTTCTCTTGATTTAGAAACACAAACATCCTTTTCTTGCCTATCACATTCTAAAAAAAAGAAAGTACTTTGAAAAAAAAAGTACTTTGAAGACAAAGGCAAAAGCAGATGTTCCAGAGATTAATATTTTAAAGAAATTCAGGAATCTATCACTTCTTATTCTTATTATACCTGCTTTAATTTAAATGAAAAAAAAAAATCCAAGTTTGACAACTATAATTCTGATCATCTAAAATGATGACAAAATTATAGGGATGTATCTTCAATAAGCATGGAAGAATTAATGCAAGTCCAGCAATGTTAAAAGAGGGCAGGGTAAGAAACTGATGTTTCCCATCTGTTAAAAGTAACTCAATAGATATGTTCAACTTAATGCATGGGTTCCTTTCTTACCTGAAATTAAAGTTTTATTCCTTGACTCACTAAACAGCTGTGCAATGTGAAGCCCACATGCTCATACAAAATTCTAAGACAGTATTCCCAAATCAGAATGTACATAGCATTCTGGTGGGATCTCGATCAACATAAATTATTTGCTGCACACCAGAAGTTGAATAGTGCTCATCATGACATACGAAACACATGGTTCTTTTTTAACCAGTTTATACAGGTAACATCTGCTTAGGAACACAGATGAAGGAAGACTGTGCATATGTTAGAATAGAAATAGAAAGTTCACACTTTCTGTGGAAAGACAACAAATATCTACAACTTTTAGATTTCTCTAATGTCCCACAATGATGAGTATTTATGGTTTCTAGAAAACTGAAAAGGAGGCACAATGAAAAAGTTATGAAAAGGCCGGGGAGATGGCTCAGTAGAATAAGCGCTTGTCTGGCAAGTGCAAGGTCCTGAGTTCAACACCTGGTACGGCAAGAAAAAAAGAAAAGAAAAAGTTATGGGGCCGGCCAAACAGCTCAGTGGATTAAAGCATCTACTTAGGCACACAGGGGTCAAAGGTTCTAGCCCAGGCCTGATATGGGGGAGCGCTGAGACTGCGATTGAGACTGGGCGTGGTGGTGTGCGCCTGTAATCCCAGCTCCTTGGGAGGCTGAAAACAGGAGGATCCCTATGAGTCTGGATCTACATAGTGAAACCCTGTAGACACTTACAAAAAAATACAAAAAAAAAAAAAAAAAGGTTATATTAACATAGTGTGACTTTACCTAAGACAACGAAAGACACCAATGTAAGACACTTTTATTGGGCCAATAAGACAGCTCAGCAGACTAAAGCCCCTGCTTATGCAAGCTCAGGCAAGCACAGGGACCGCAGTTCCATCCTTGGTACCACATGCTGCACCAGCCCCATCCCCAGGGCAGGCTGAGCTGGCTATAATGAATAAATAAACTTGGGATCAGGGAGATGGCTCAGTGGAAAAAGCGCTCGCCTGGCAAGTGCAAGGGCCTGAGTTCAATCCCCGGTTCTGCAAAAAATTTAATAGATAAATAAAAAGATATTTTGAAGAAAAACAAAACTTTCTAAAATAATTCTAGATATTTATAAAAATCAATGAAAAAAGCAAAAGCACATTTTAAAAATATCCCTAAAATTTACTTCTCTCTTTCAAAAACCTGACATCATTTATCTGTGGAAGTATTCCAATATTTACTTTGATTACTCTTGTAACTCAACATTCTGCTGCTGCTGTTGTAAGACAGACACAGAGAGACAGAGAGACAGAGAGAGAAAGACAGACAGACAGACAGACAGACAGACAGACAGGCTCCAAGACTCCAGTAAGCAGTGACTGCTGCTCCCCAGTAGCTGTTCCTACCTGCGATCCTCCGATTTGGGGATAGGGTTGGTGCAGCGCTGGCTGTTATACTTGGCCACATATTCACATTGCTTGAAAGGGGCAGTCTTGTCCTCCAGAACGTGTCTGATACAGAATGCGTAGCCGTTGAGTCGCCGCTGCTTGCACAGTTTGGGGCTATATGAGCACAAGGGCTTATTGTCAACCTCAGAGAAGTGTATATGTTTCCCTTCATACATCACGTGACTCTATTCCTTGTGAACATCAGCTAAACGTCTGCCACAAAAAAAAAGATAAAAAGCCAAATGATAAATCAGATTATAAAACAGAAAACTAAAAATTTCACTGAAGATTTAAACTCAAGTATGGGTGGCCCCACACCTATACTTGAGTTTAAATCTTCTGCACCATTGCAATGTTAAGAGAACCCCAAGGGTACCACAGTTTAGAATGTTGCTGAAATCAGGATGAAGTAGATTTGTCTACGAAGATATCAAAAGGCCTAGTTGACAGATTTAAGAAAGGCTAACTCATCCAGGACACAAATTATCACCTTTTTTTAATGTGATGGATACTATGCTGTAATCCAACATCTCAATAAAAAAGTCAAGTAAGAAAATAAAAGATATTATAAAGTATGCTATCTTTACTTTTTAAAAATTATTACCTTTACTTTAGAAAGTAACTAAGACATATGGTTAGATATTTGGCAATTTGAAAGAAGTATTTATTTTTTCCTATTTTTGACAGGGTCTCGCTATGCAATTCAGGCTGTCCTTGAACTCACTTTGTAGTGCAGGATGACCTCAAACTTGCAGTGCTTCTCCTGCCTACCTCATCTCCCAAGTGGGCTTTGAAAGAAGTATTTTTATGAAACACAAACTACATTGAGCTAAACCACATTCATTGGCTCAGCTTAAATTTTGTGACTACCTTATAACAGCTAGCTTGTCCATCAAAGAAGTATCACAGGTGCTGGTCTTTTTACTTGACTAGCAGGATTTCCCTCCCACCCCCCCTCCAAGACTGGGTCTTACTATGTACTTCAGGCCGCCTTTGAACTCACCATGTAGCCAAGGTTGGCCCACAAGTCAGTGATCCTCCTGCCTCAGTCTCTAGAGTGTTGGAATTACAGGTGTGCATCACCACTCCTAGCTTTCACCTTGGTAAGCATTGGGTTTATCTTCTGATACCTAATCCTTTTACTAAGCTGACAGAATTAACCACAGACCTAGTGCCCCTCAGAAATTCTCCAACTTTTGTGGTACTATGGTTTATTTTACTTATTTTTTTTTTGTTTAAAAATTTATTTATTTATTCGTGTGTGTGTGTGTGTGTGTGTGGCCAGCTCAGCCCACCAGGGGGCGGGGCTGGCTGGCATGTGGTGCTGGGGGATTGAACCGCAGTCCCTGTGCTTTGCTAAGCTTGTTCTAAGTAGGTGCTTTAGACCACTGAGCCATCTCACCAGCCCAGTACTATGGTTTATTTCTAGATGTCCCTCCAAAACTTCATGTGCTCATAGGTGGGCTCTGGGAGGTGACTAGATCATGTGCAGACACTACTCACCAGCCCACTGATGAATTTATAGCTAAATGTGATGTTGGGAGAAGCCTGGTCATGGCCTAGAAGGGTCTCTATCCCTCCACCCTTCCCTCCGCTTTATGTGTGCACTGCCATGGACTGTTTCTCTTCTGACAGCCCCTTTTGCCATGCTACCCTGCCTTCGAACCAGCCAACCATGGGCTGAAACCTCTACAAACTGAGCAAACAAAAGCTTCTCCTCTAACTTGTGTCAGGTATCATGTCTTTGCAATAAAGAAACTAAGATATATGGTTATAAAAACATCAACAACTTGAAATATATCTATGGAACACAAAACAAGAAATTCCTGCTTTTAAAAACATGCTACGGGGCTGGTCAAACAGCTCAGCAGATCAAAGTGCCTGCAAGCAGGAGCAGGGGCCAGCAGTTCGATCCCCAGGCCTGCCATGCTGGCCCCACCTCCGGGGCACACTGAGATTGCAATTGAGACTGGGCATGGTGGTGTGTGCCTGTAATCCCAGCACTTGGGAGGCTATAAATAAGCAGATCACGACAAATCCAATCTAGTAGTGAGACCCTGAACACCCTGTTGACCCTTTCCTAAGGAAAAAGAAAAAAAAGAAAAAAAAACATGCTACTGTCTTCCACTTCCACCAGTCCCATCCAACTTGAGCCCAAGCGCTTAACATTAATCACATTTACTTATATAACCTGTACCATGGGGAGCTCCTCACTTCTTGAAGTAAGGTAATGATTATTTTTTTTTTTTTTTTTTTTTTTTGGTGCCCCGGGGATTGAACTCAGGCCCTTACTGAGCTATCTCCCAGGACCCTCTGGCTTGTATTTTTTGATAGTGCCTAAGAAAACGAGAACAATTTACACAATACTACCTTTCTATATACAAAAGGCCCAAGGGAAGCACTCACACAATACCATATAGTCCACAAGCATGAAAATGAATTTGACTGCAAAGTGAGGCTCTTAGCAAGTGACATAGCTTAACCCACCCTCTGGAGGTCACCAAGATGCCACATGGAACATATCAGATAACAGTTATTGAAAGACCCTCAATGCAAAGACAGTGAGTGTTTACTACGTCCAAGTGGGCAGGTCCCATTCCCAATTTTTAAAAAGACACAAAGAAAAAAAGAATTTTATACCAATGAGTGACAAGATACATGACACACTTGAGTTAAAAGACATGAATTGTTCCACTCCAAAATCTCTGCCATTTACTGTTATCAACCTCTCTGAATCTCAACCTTTTCACCTATAAAACAGCTGTAAGTTGCTCTGTTACAGCCAGATTGTTCTAAGGATTAAATGACACAAAACACACACTACTCTAAGGATCATGCCCACCGTATAATAAACACTGGATAAATAGAAGTTTATTGTTCAAAAGTGTGAACTGTATTATTCATAAGTGTTAACTGTTATAATATATTACTAGTTGGGCATGGTAGCACATGTTTATAATCCCAACACTCAAGTGGTTGAAGTAGGAAGATTGCTGACAGTTACAGGCCTGCCTGGATGAAAATAAAACAAATGAACAAACAAAAATAAATAAGTAAGGGCTGGCCAAATAGCTCAGCGGATTAAAGAGTCTGCAAGTAGGTACAGGGGCCAGGGATTCGATTCCCAGGCCTGTTGTGCCGGCCCTGCTCCCAGGGTGCATTGAGACAGCAATTAAGACTTGGTGTGCCAGCCTATAATCCCAGCTCTTGGAACGCTGTGAACAGATGGATCACTACAAGTCTGATCTAGTAGTGATGAAACCCTGAACACTCTTTAGACCCTTCCCTAAAGTACAAAAAAAGAAAAACCATATATCCACATATCCACCACTTGCCAATGATAATGGTGGAAAACCTGTACCCTTAAGAGACATTTCACTTACTTTGGTAGGAAAAAAAGAAATAAAAATCCTGAGATATTAGCTTAGTTAAAACACACACACACACACACACCCTAAGTAAATCCAATCACACATCAGTAAAGTATAAAATAAGAACCAGAGCTTCCTTTTCCAATTTACTAGGCTGCAGAAAAGCTGTACTAAGAATGTACATGCAGCTCCTCTGAAGCTTTGGTCAGGGGCCAGGGAGATGGCTCAGTAGAATAAGCACTTCCCTGGCAAGTGCAAGGACCTGAGCTCAACCCCAAGTCCCGCCAAAAAATAAATAAATTAATTAAAGTTTGAAGCTTTGGTCACCTAGGACAGGAACTATGTCAAAGGAAAGACATTCTCTGTGCCACTGCAACCAACAAACCCTGTATCACCCACGACTTAGTTCTAGAAAGTCTATGTGTACTTCAGGAAAAAAAGCCCTGGTTAAAAGCAAATAAAGAAATTAATGTACAGAACCGGTTTGTCTTTATAAACAAAGAAGTCTATATGTCAACAGCATGAGAGTACGATCATCATGAAGGCCGAAGGTCAGAATGAAAAGTAGGAGGGCTGTGATTATCTTTTATTCTGGCACACTCAAGGTACTGTACATAGCCATGTCATCGATGCGCGGCCATTGCTCTCATGCATAACTGGTCCCTAACTGAAATGCTTAGAACAATGCTAAGTAGTAATGGCAGTGCTATTACTTCTCTGCTGAAACAGAATGGCTTCATTAGGAATAAGAGTGATTCTAGGCATGGTGGCGCCTGCCTATAATCCCAGCACTCAGAGAGGCTGGGACATGATCATTCCAAGTTTCAGACCAGCCTGAACTACTAAGTAAAGACCTTGTCTCAAAATAGGAGAAGGGTGGAGGCTGACTTTATCTTAAGACGTATTTCCTGTGTGTTGCTCAGCAAAACATGTGCTTGGCATGTGTGAAGTACTGGGTTCAATCTCTAACACCAAAAAATAAAACAGTGTAAGTCATTTTAAGAACAGCTGTTCAGTTTTGTTGTTTTATGCAGTGGTGAGCAAGCATTCTACTATCGAGCTATCTTCCCCAGCCTTTGCATGTATGCATTTATTGGGTTTGAGACAGGGTGTTGCTATGTAGTTCAGGTTGGCTTTGAGCTCACTGGCCTGAATTTGCAGCAACCTTCCTGCCTCAGTCTCCATATCACTGGGATTACAGGCATGTGCTTGTAGTCACATTCAGCTTATTCTATTTTTTTCTTTTTCTTTTTTGTATATATTTGGCACAGGGTCTCACTATGCAACTGAGACTTGTAGTGATCCTCCCATTTTCAGACTACCCAGCACTGAGTTACAGGCGTGCGCCACCACACCTGGTCTCAGCAGCCGGCTCAGTGGGGCAGGTGCTTAGTCTGCTAGACTGTCGCCAGCCCTCTATTTCTTGAACATTTCTATCTATTTTCATTCTTTGCTGCCGGGCAGATGGCTCAGTGCCAGGGAGATGGCCCAGTAGAATAAGTGCTTCCTTGGCAAGTGGAAGGGTCTGAGTTCAATCCCCGGTTCTGGGTCTCTCAGAAGGGTAAGGAGAGTTTATGTAGCAGTAGAGATCACTCATTGGCTCTGGCAGCAATCTGGAATGGTGCTCAAATCTGGTAAAGGTCTCATCTTCGCCTCCTCCTCCTCTCCATCTCGCAGCTCCCTGCTTCAAGCCCCCATCACTCTCTTCTCAGTAGCTGCCCCACGGGTCTAATTCA